CGAGGGCGAGAAGCGCGCGGTGGTCCAGGCCAAACCTGCCGCCTGGGCGAGCTCCCCCCAGCTTCGCTGCGCCCCGCGGGAGCCCCATCCCCGCGCGGCCGTCGTTCCTCCCCGCTGCCCACGGCCTCTGCCTCCGGGGCTGCACGCTGTTCGGGGCCGGGGTGTCCCTCAGCTGGTGGCATGTCCAAGGCATGTCGCCCCCAGGGGAGGCCGGTTGTGACTGGCACGCTCCCAGTGATAGGACAAACCGGAGCAACTTCCACATCTTCCCGTTTCCACAAAATACAGACGAGATGCGCTTCAGCTCTGAACTCTGCAGCGAAGCCGGCTTCTGTTTGAAGCACTGATTTATAAGGGCTTTGTTATTCAGAGCCTCGCATTAAGTTAACCGTAAAGATTCAAAGCTGCAAAATAATTGCAGGATCAAAATTATTCACAAACATTTCAAGGCCTGAAGCTGCTGCAAGATGGTCAGATTTACATATATCATCTGGCTAAATAATTCAAGCTAAACAGATTAGCTTGTTATGCTCCTGACAGAAATGATCCTTGAATATACCACGGCCTAGTGCCAGGGCAATTATGAGAGAGGAACATCCTCGTTTGCTGACAGTGACATTCAAGTGACAGCAAAAGCTGAAAAACACCTGGAGGTGATGCTTTTATGGATATTAAAAAAAAAAAAAAGTCAAGATGTCAGACTCTTATCTTGAGCCAAGGAAGGAAAAGCAAAGAGAGAGAGTCTTGTGTTTTTTGGTTTACCTTCTGACCCAGGGAAGCAGCGGAGGACAATCAAGCTGTTCCTTTTATAGCTGCTCTTAGTCATACATCAGCAGATGGCTGGGGTCCGCTGGTGCAAATTCTGCAGCCTCCTTGGGGACGAATATACAATGGTCGTTACAGGACAAAGGTTACGTATCGTGATTTATGTGGACAAAAACAAATCAGTTTTTGATCCCTGTGTGCTGGTATAAAATGTAAGGAGCTATTCATTTACAGGCTTTAAGGTCAACCAAGTACGTCTGTGTTTGATTAATGTAAATTACAACGCGTGTGACTTGGGCCTGAAGCCTGCATTTACCTTTATCATTCAAAAAATAAGCAAATACCATTTGTTGATTTTTCATGAATGTCCCTTCATTGGCATTGCCTGTCACATATGTGGCAGTAAATACCTCTTTGTGCATGCAGGTTGGATTTGGATAGATTTGATTTGGATGAAATAGTCGTACGGGTAGAGGGACAATATAGACCTCCCAAAACGGCAGGAGAGCAGTGGAGTTACTGCCTCCTTCCACTAAGTGGATGCAACAGGGAAGCTAAGGTCAGTGGGACAAAGGAGGGGAGCGATGAATCCTGCGGGAATGTGGGAAAATTGGGGAGGGGGTTTGCCCCAAAAGTCACGTGCACAGCTTTGCATCTATAGATGAGCGGAAGAAGCAGCCGCCACTATTTCACCTGCAGCAATCACGCCTTGAAATGAAAGCTGCAGCTGGTTCTTGTCATCTAGAGGGGGTCTCACCCATGCTGGGCAAGGGTGTCACCTGCCCCTGCGTGGCAGAGCCAGCCTTTGCCTCCCCACACCTAAATACTCCCGAAGCGCAACCTTGGCCTTGAGCCAGCTTTGCCTTTTCCTCTGGAGGAGGCAAAGGATGGAGATGGAAGCGGGGTCCTCCGTGGTTCCGGAAGGAGGGCAGCGCCCTTGGCCTCGCAGCCGGCCGGGGCAGAGCTGTTCAGAGGCAGCGGGGGCCGACGCGACCTCAGACCCGAAGTGCAGCCTGCGGGCAGCTGTGTGAATACGGCTTGCTGTTAGTTTGCACTCACTATTTCATTTTGCAAAGAGGTTTTTGCTGAAACGTTCTCCTTTCAGCACCATAACTTTACTACATTTTATAGGGAGTTCTTTTATGTGTCAATAAAGAAAATAGTGCTGTTATTACATAAGGCTGTAAGTGAGACGGAGAGCGTGACGGAGGCGGCCTCAGAGCTGCCACGGGTTTAGCGAGAGCAGCTACGGCTCTGCGGAAACGGCCCTTTGGCTGGTTCGGGGCTGGGTCCGCCGGGCCCGCCCTTTCCGGGGCGGC